GATAGGGATTCATGTGGAATAAATATTTAGAGTACAATATCTGTAGTTGGCCAGGGCAACTTCACATATCATGCTTATGCTCTTAAGGAATATAAACAGAATTCTGTCCTGGGAGTATTTATTAAGTAGTAAGATAATGCCTGTCAACAATAAACTGAGGTAGAATCCTCATTCTCTATGAAATTAACTGAATGGGGCATCCCTGGTGGCACAAGGGGTTAAGTCTCGGCACTATGAAGCTATCCACAGCCACTGCTGCACAGGTTTGATCCCCAGCCAGGGAGCTGACCCGCATGGCGCAGCAGACCTCGCCTGTCTCGCCTGCTGCTCCCCTCAGCAGTGTATCTCAGTAGATCCACCTCTTCTGCTCCTTACTCTATCTCTGGTGAATCCTCTCACCCCCCCTTTCACCTCTGGCCTACACCCCATCTCTTGTATGCATAAATAAATAGATCTTTTTAAAAAAATTAACTGAATGTCCACAGGTGCCTGAATAGATTTTTTTTTTTTAAGATTTGTTTGTTTATACATAGAATAACTGGTGTGTAGGGCCTCCCCAGTGGCATAGCAGGTTAAGTGCAGCGCTGTGAAGCTGTCCACAGCCTCTGCAGCACAGGTTCGATTCCCAGCTGGCCAGGGAGATTCCCAGATGGTGCGGCAGACTTCTCCTGTCTCGCCCACTGCTCTTCTCAGCAGTACTTTCTGTCCGTCTGCCTGCTTTGCTCCCCACTCTGCCTGTGGTGAATCCTATCACCCTCCCATGCCTCTGGCCTGTACCCCAGCTCTTGTATAAATAAAATAAACCTTAAAAAAAAAAAGAACTAGGATGTAGGCTTTAGGTGGGGCGTGGAGTGAGGATGCACCAGAGACAGAGTGGGGAGCAGAACAGTTGGATCTACTGAAATGCACTGCTAAGGGGGGCAGCTGTTGAGACAGTGGTCTTCTGTGCCACATGTGGGTTAGCTCACTGGCCAGGGTTGAACTCAGGCCATAGCAGTGATAGCATGATAGCGCTGAGACTAAACCCCTACGACACCGGGGGGACCAGAAGAAATTTTTTATTTTATTTATTTTTTTTTCCCCCCAGAGAAAAAGAATGCCACTCAATAATGAAAGGATTACATTTCACTAGGCTAGAAGCTGGAACCGGAGTTATAGAGAGGACGTTATACTACTACTAAAATCTCAGTACTGTGATTTGTTCAGATTTTTTCAACTTAATGTTAAGTGTAAAACCCCATTATGTGTTAGATCTAATAGTGAAGTTAGCTAAAGTTGAGTCACAGGTCACAAACTGAACAGTTCACACATAGTCATAGTACTGGAGTAATTTTTAGTATTCTGAGAAGACTGTTCAGCATACGTACCAATTTTCAGTACATGTGCTCTTTGACAGAAAATGTATCTTACGAAACTTTTCATGTTCAAGGATAAATATACAAAGAATTTACACCACAGCATTATAACATGGTGAAAGCTTGAAACAACCTGCATCACTATAAAATAGGAAGAAGAGTTAAATATTGTTAATAAGCTGTTTTTTTAAAGATTTATTTATTTATGCATACCCAAACTGGGGTACAGGCCAGAGGTGTGGGGAGTGAGAGGATTCACCAGAGACAGCAGGGAACAAAATAGGTGGACTGACTGAAATACACTGCTGAGGGGAGCAGCCGGCAAGAAAGGAGAGGTCTGCTGTGCCATGTAGGTAGCTCCCTGGCTGGCTGGGAATTGAACTCATGCTGCAGAGGTTGTGGATAGCTTCACAGTGCTGCGTTCAACTGCCTGCTCCACCAGGGAGGCCCAGACTACTTTTAAATGTAGCTAACTTGGTGGGACTCTTACCTAGCCTAGTTACACAAGATGTCTTTCGTGGCTTTGGAAGGCGAGGGGGTAGAGACAAAAGGTGTCTAGAGAACATGTAGTCCATTTCCTTGAGACTCACCCAGCAATACACAGGGAGCTTATGCGCTTCTTTGCTGTCAGCCTGCCCAACTACTTATGACCAAGATCTACTGGGAAAGAATGCCTGCTCTCGTTAGTACTAAAGACACAAGAGTGAGAAGGGGGAACCTCATTCATCTTAATTCCTGAGGGCTTATTCCCTGAATGTCAAGGTTTTCTCCTCTCCCCAAAATCAGGCAACTCTCCTTTTTAGCCTTTGGTTCCAAACCTTTCCTGTGTCAACACCCTCTTTTATTGTAAACATATCCTTTGCTCCTTCCATGGACTCCTATGATTTGAAAGATTTTGTCTGCCAACCTGCCAAATGCTAGCATGGTAATTTTTCCCTTTACCAATTAACAAAACCTTGCATAACTAAATTAAATCCTCAATTAATGTTCTTGGAAATTTTTACTTTAATGAAAGCAGCAGGTCCCTGAAAAATCGTTTTGCTTAAAGTCAGCTGGGATTGTTATTTTTTTCATCATTGTAAGGAAACAGTGTCATTTTATGACCAGCTGTTAACACTACAATCAGTGCCCTAGAGGTATGTCCTCAGAGTGCTTTCTGTATGTCAGGCGCTGTGTGAAACATTTCCCATGAATAACTTAATTTTCAAAACGAACCCACGAGGTGGTTTTTATCTACGTTTTACAGAAAGGGAAATTGAGAATATTTTTAAGGTCATATTGTAAGTGGCAGAATGGCATGTAGGTGGTTTCCAACTTTGCATGCTTTTTTTTTTTTAACTTTTTTTTAACTTTGCATGCTTTGACTTAAAATTTTTCACCTTTACAATGGTGTGGAAATGATACACATTCAGTAGAAATGGAATTGTGAATTCTGATCATTTCTCAGGCTATAGCTGTGTTGTATGCTATTTTCTTGTGGTGCTGGGTGGCAGCAGCAAGCTACAGCTGCGTTGTCATGAGGGCAGACAGCTCTATAGACCTTTCAGTACAGTAGTCAGTAAAGTACATAAGCTTTCAACAATTTATTGCAAATAGGGTTTCTGTTCACTGTTTTAGTCTTAACTGCAGGATAAAGTCTTCAGAGTACATTTAAAGTAGGCTAAGCAAAGCTATAATGTTTATAGTATGTAGTTCTGGTGTATTATATGCATTTTCAACTTAGGATACATTCAACATAAAATTTATCTGGATGTAATCCCATCGTAGTGGAAGGAGATTTGTATATCAGAAGTATATGAAAATGGGGCCTCTCCAGTGGCACAGCGGGTTGAGCGCCACACTGTGAAGCTCTCCCCAGCCTCTGCAGCATGGTGTTCGATTCCCAGCCGGCCAGGGAGCTACCCACATGGCGCAGCAGACCTCTCCTGCCTCCCCCGCTGCTCCCCTCAGCAATGTCTTCGGTACATCTTCCTATTCTGATCCCCACTCTGTCTCTGGTGAATCCTCTCACCCTCCCTCACCTCTGATCTCTACCCCAGTTCTTGTTTAAATAAATAAATCTTTTTTTATTTTTAAGGAGTATATGAAAATGCATACAAAATGACCTGGGAGATTACTTATGGCTGATGGGAGTGATGAAGAGCTTTCAATTTTTACACATTTATATTATTTGAACTTTAAACAAGCATATATAATACTTCTGTGGTTTTTGGAAACAAAATTTCTCAAATAGATTTTATGCTACCACGTCCTTAGTCTAAAACTTTCCTCAAAATTTAAAGGTAAATTGGAACTCCAAAGTCAATTTCTAGATGAAAACTATCCCTTTTGTCTCATTCGCTCAAAATTTGTAAGACTCAGAGGTAAGGTATCTGGCATGGAATTAGTATAGTGTAGCTCATCAGACAATTATCGCTATCCATGTTCCTCCCTTTTCTTTGCTTTTTAATTTTTTTTTCTCCTTCATTTTTTAACACCTCTATGTACCATTAGAGCAAACACCTTTTTTTTTCTTTTCTTTTTTCTTTATTTGTTAGCGGTGCCCCTGGGGCATTGCCAGTTTCTTTCAGTGACCCGAAGGAATAAAATCTCTATAGTGGGCCTCCCCGGTGGCGCAGCGGTTGAGCACTGGGTTGCGAAGCTGCCTGCAGCCTCTGCAGCGCCGGTTCGATCCCCGGCTGCTCCCCGGCCACTGGAGGAGGGTCCCACATGGTGCTCAGACCTCTCCTGCCGCCCGCTGCTCCCCTCAGCAGTGTGCTTTGGTCCTTCTGCCTGCTCTGCTCCCCGCTCTGGCTCTGGTGAATTCTCTACCCTCCAACACTTCTGATGGTACCCAGTGCTTGTATAAATTAAATAAATAAATAAATAAATAAATAAATCTTTAAAAAAAAATCTCTATAGTGAAGTGTGTTTTGTCTGGATATCCTAAAATTAATTGGATATTGGATCAGCACCCATTACTTAGGCTAAGGTAAGCAGTCTTCCGGTAAACAGTCTTCCAAATACTTGTGCTCTTAAGAGAGTTGATCAGACTTGTGTTAGTATGCAGTCATAGAATATATCACCTACTTTGGACTTTGTCTCCACGTATTGTGACTCTGGCAAAACATTCTTCTCATATGCTATAAGACACAAAAAGCTTCATATCTACTACTTGCTGTGTTTCTTTCAGTAGGGGAATCCCTTCTCCGTACCTCTGATTGTCAGTTTAAAAGTGTTTCCTATCTGGAAGGGATAGTACTCAGTGAAATAAGCCCAGAAAGGAAAATAAAAATACTGGATGGTCTCACTTATAACAGGAATTTAGAAAACCTAAATAAGGGACCAGGAAAAAGACTAATTATAATAAAGTAAAAATCAACAAGCCACTGTAAACCAGAAACATACTATAGGGGATGGGGGGAGGAAGGACTAGGATCAAAACAAGGGGGGGTAGGAATTGTGTGGGGACTATAACCAAAATGAAAATGCATACATTATGCAAAAATGAAAAATGATGCAAAAAGTATATAAAATTTTAAAAAAAAGTGTTTCTTCCCTTTGCATTATGGAGGTATGGGGAAATTATATACCTGTCACAGGGAAGTTAGTCAGCTATATCACAAATACGGTGTTTATTTTCCTCTGTTCTTTTTGTCCTCTCAGCTTCCCATTGACCGAGGTGGAGGTGAAGGAAAGGCCATGTACATTGACACCGAGGGTACCTTTAGGCCAGAACGACTACTAGCAGTGGCTGAGAGGTAGGTTACTGCACTAGGCAAAATATCGTTACAGCCACCACTTTAGTGATTGCCATGGTCATTGTCTGAAGAGTGTCTATTTTATTGTTCCATATTCCGAAGTTGTATGTAGTTCAAAAGAATCACCTTCTTCAGTAGAAAAAAAGCGTTCTTCAGTCATAGATCTTTGAGTTGCTGTCAGACTAGACAATAAACAAGATCCAGTTAGTTGCTGTCTTCCAGAGAAACACTATTTTCAAAGACACAGACAGATTGAAAGTAAAAGGATGGAGGGACCTCCCTGGTGACACAAGGGGTTAAGATGCAGCACTATGAAGCTATCCGCAGCCACTGCAGCATGAGTTCAATCCCTGGCCAATGAGCTACCCACATAGTGCAGCAGACCTCTCCTGTCTCACCTGCTGCTCCCCTCAGCAGTGGATTTCAGTGGATCAGCCCGTTCTGCTCCCCACTGTGTCCCTGGGGACACAATCCTTTTTTTTTTTCCCCTTAAAGAATTATTTATTTATTTATACAAGCACTGGGTACAGTCAGAAGTGTGGGAGGGTGAGAGAATTCACCAGAGCCAGAGCGGGGAACAGAATAGGCAGACTGACAAAGTACACTGCTGAGAGGAGCAGTGGGCGACAGGAGAGGTCTGCGCGCCACGTGGGACCCTCGCCGGTGGCCAGGGATCGAACCGGTGCTGCAGAGGCTGCGGGCAGCTTCGCAGCCCAGCACTCAACCACTGCACCACCAGGAGAGGCCCCCTGGTCAATCCTTTCAACCAACCCTCCGCATCTCTGGCCAGTACTCCAGTTCTCGTATGCATAAAGAAATCTTTTTTTTTTTTTTAAATGGAAATGATGTGGAAAAACTGGAATGCTAGTATATTGCTGTTGAGAATGTAAAACTATGCAGTTGCTTTGGACAACATAAACATAAATTTATCTTTTGACCATGCAGTTTTATTGTGGTTATATGCCACATGATATGAAAACATGTCTACATAGAGATTTGTATGTGGAAATTTATAGTGTTACTTGTTAGTGCCAAACTGGAAACAACACAATTGTCCAATTGATGAATGAATAAATATTTGTAGAATACTACTCAACAGTAAAATGGAATGAAGTACCTGTTACAAAATGGATGAATCTCAAAAACATGATGATAGGAGCTAGACACAAATACTTAGGATTCCGTTTAAGTGAAGTTTCCAGAAAGAAACATCTATAGACACAGTTGATCAGTGGTTTTGGAGGCTTGGAGTAAGAACAGAAAGTAACTCCAACTAGACTTGAGATCCTTTTTTTGGATAATAGAAATGTCCTAAAATTGAATTGTGATCATGGTTGTAAACTGTAAATTTACTTTTATGGCATATAAATTAGACCTCAGTAAAAAGATACTCTAGGTTGAGAATTTTGAAGCTGGTTTTTTTTTTTTTTCCCCCAAAAGATTTATTTATGCATACAAGAACTGGGGTACAGGCTAGAGGTGTGCGAGGGTGAGAGGATTCACCAGAGACAATGTGGGGAACAGAAACACACTGCTGAGGGAAGCAGCAGGTGAGACAGGAGAGGTCTGCTGCGCCATGTGGGTCAGCTTCTTGGCGGGGCATGGAATTTGTGCTGCAGTGGCTGCTGATAGCTTCATAGTGCTGTGACTTAACCCTTTGCGCTACCAGGGAGGCCCCCTGATCTTAATTTTCTGCAGGTGAGTATACTAAACTGTATTTCACTCCCAAAGTTGTTTTTGGTATTCTTAACAGAAAACACACTGTTAAGTAAAATATACTGTTTTAGTAGTTGAAGAGTTTTCTTTTAGACAAAGTCATCAAGATTTTGTCCAGTCCGTAAGTAAGGAGTGCTCAGGTAGAATAGATGAGATAGTAGAATGTAGGCTATGAAGACAGGGACTTTGTTTTGATCACTTACTGTATGTAGCCTCAAGCACTAGACCAGGTTATTCAGTATTTGTTAGTGAATGAAGGAATATTAATTAGAGACATGTTTATGAATATGTCAACTAAAAGAAAACTGTTTAAATGTAAATTTCTTCAATACATTTTAATTACTTCTGCCTATGCAGGAAATTTTTAATAATTTCTGTTCCAAATTACAGGTGTTTCTTAAGCAAATACCTAATTTTTCCTGCACAACAGTACCCTCACTGATTAATTTTTGCCATGCCCTGTTTAAACATATTAACTTGTGACCTTTTTTTTTAACAAGGTCTCCAGATGATTTGGATTTTTTTTTTTTAAAGACTTTATTTTTGCGTAGAAGAACTTGGGTGTAGGCCAGAGGTGCGGAGATAGTGGTGAGAATATTCACCAGAGGCAGAGTGGGGAGCAGAACAGGCAGACTGACTGAAATACACTGCTGAGGGGAGCAGTGGGCTAAACAGGAAAGATCTGAGCGCCACGTAAGTTAGCTCTCTGACCAGGGGTTCAGTGCAGGCTGTGTTGCACTGGGCCTTCTCAGTGGTGGTCTACCTGAGACTTAACCCCGAGGCCACCAGGGAGGCCTCTGATCTGGATTCTTGCTGAACTTTAAGAACTGTGACTATAATTGCTAGTTACGATGTGACCACCTTTTGTGAAAGTTTTAACTTAAGTACTATGAAAAAGAGAATGATAGACACCCCTTGCAACTATACAGCAGATGTAAACATTAAGAACTAAATATTGTAATTTAAGTCTGGTTTCGACCTAAGAATTTTTTTTTAACTAGGTATTCTAGATTTATTTTTATTTTTTTAAGATTTATTTATTTATTTATTTGCACAAGCACTGGGTACAGTCAGAAGTGCGGGAGGGTGAGAGGATTCACCAGAGCGGGGAGCAGAACAGGCAGAAGGACTGAAGTACACTGTTGAGGGGAGCAGCGGGCGCGGCAGGAGAGATTTTCGCGCCATGTGGGACCCTCACTGGTGGCCGGGGATCGAACCGGCGCTGCCAAGGCTGCAGGCAGCTTTGCGGCCCAGCGCTCAACCGCTGCGCCACCACGGGAGGCCCTCTAGATTATTCTTAATTAAGTTCTGGAAATACTATGAGAGCCTGCTTATAGCCAACCTATTTTTTCCAAATTATGGGTATTGAAAATTCCTTGTGCTACCTCAGTTGTGACAGCATCCAGATATTCCTGCTTGTAAAAGTCAGTTTGTTCCCCCCCCCCCAGCCCACCCCTGTAAACTATGTTCTGATAACAAAAGATAATCTCTCTTCCTGACAGATTATATCAAAGTTTCTTGAGATAAGGCTTAACATTTGTGTCTAGGCCTAAAAGATCTTGAATCTTGCAGCCATGATTTAATATAGAAAATTTTATCTCCTATTCTCACTTTATTTTGTCAGGATCCCAAAATGAAACTGCATCATATCTTTATCCTCACCCCCAAATTTAACTATTCATCATCAAGCCGCTTAATTCCATGCTGAACATTCATTTGTGTTAATAAGAATAATTGGTAAAATGTCCAGGAAAGTACAATGACTGTTACTACCTACATGAAGAATCCATTATTTAAAGTGGGAAATACAATTGGCTAGGGTGTGGCGTCTATGATATTGCGGGTAGCTTATTGCAGTGTTATTTCAAGTGCTAAAATGTTTTTTTCTTATTATTATTTTGGGAGGAAAAAGTATTTACCTAAAGCTAAGTCTTAAAAAAAATAGATTTGAGGGCCTCCCCTGGTGGCGCAGCAGTTGAACGCTGGGCTGCAAGGCTGCCCGCAGTCTCTGCATCACCGGTTCGATCCCTGGCCACCGGCGAGGGTCCCACGTGGCACGCAGACCTCTCCTCCCAAGCCCGCTGCTCCCCTCAGCAGTGTATTTCGGTCCATGCCTGTTCTGTTCTCCGCTCTGGCTATGGTGAATTCTCTCACCTTTCCGCGCTTCTGACTGTAGCCAGTGCTTGTATAAATAAATCTTTTAAAAAAAATAGATTTGACACAGTGTATAACTTAGGTAAAGATCAGTGTCTACTAAATGATTGATAGAAACATAAACATAGAAACTTGGTTCTCAAAGAAATACAACGCACTTATTTTATTTAAACGAATTATGAATTATGTCAGTGACTAAGTATTATACTTTGGAAATTTAGCGATTTTGGGTGACTTTAACCCAAGTAATATTTTGATATTAAAGTGATGGTACACGATTTTCTTTTGTTCGGTTTGTGGATAATAGCTTATTCAGAAACATTTATTGAGAATTTACTAGGTGTAAAAGATGTTCTAGGTGGAGATGCTGGTGTAGTCTTTCCTCAAGGAACTGCAGGGTGACTTCTCATAAGTGCCTAAATCCAGTTTTCTGGAAGTGCAGAAGAGGAAAAATCACATATATTTGAGAGGTCCAGGGAACTTTTTATATAAGGGCTGGCACTTAGTTGGGTCTTGATTGGTGGATATATCCTTGAAGAAATGGGGTCCCATTAAAGTGCAGTCATGTCTTAGTGGTAGTCACAAAGGTGAGATTTCTAGAAAAATGGGAGGTATCTTCTGCCTTTTTAAAATGCAAAAGCAAAATTCACTGTTGAGGTATAAGGTGAATTAAAGTATCACTCATTTAACCCTATTAGATACAGATCACTTATTCTACCTTTCTAGTAATGAAAGAAAAGTACAGGAAAGAAAAAAGTTTAGAAGAAATAAAAGATGCTTATTTACTGCTCTTGAATACCTTAAAATGTCAAGTCCATAGGTTTTGCTCCTGTATAACAAGTTTATATGAATTTGTTTCATATAAACAATTTTTCTGTAAGAGATCCATTATTTTTGTTTCAGTCCCAATTCTTTCATGAGACCCTTAGTTTCTCCAGAAGTTTCCTTGTATTTAGAAATTTCTAATTCTAGTTCAGGAATGCCAGGTAGAGCTACTCCAAAATGGTTGATGCTGTCACCTCTCTAAATACTGTGTGTCTGGTCTTCCTAGTAGAAAGGGAATTATATTCGTTAGCCCTGATACCATTTTTCACCTGCCCATCCAGGTAATTTCATTGTTAAAAAAGAATTTCTCATCTCTTGAGTTCTATGTGCGGGCTAAAAATGTTCTCTTCCTCTCTTCCAAGATATGGCCTCTCTGGCAGTGATGTCCTGGATAATGTAGCCTATGCGCGAGGGTTCAACACAGATCACCAGACCCAGCTTCTTTATCAGGCATCAGCCATGATGGTGGAGTCCAGGTACGTGCACTGTAGAAGGCACTGTCTGTTCCCAGAGCCATTTGGCCAAACTCATACCAGCTTGGAGTAGAGCTGGGAAGACTGATGTTTTAGTTCCTATGTTGACATTCTTGTTTTGTGGTTTTATGTCCTGTCACTGTTTAAAAAATGAAGCCATTCAACCATAAGGAAAGACAAAGTGTGGCCAATTACAATGACGTGGAGGAGCTGGAGGGAATTCTGCATAGTGACATTTACATAGCAGATGATTGGACAAAGTTAAATACAGAAAGTAGCAGACATTAGTAAACGTTCTAAGGGCTCTGAGGTTAGCAAGGAAGCAGGAGGGAGAAGGGACACGGGGATTTAAAAAAAGCCATAAGCCACGTGAACTTGTGGGAGGTGTTATGTTGTTTTGTGGTGCCTTAGACATGAATGTCATACAGATATTTTAACATTTATATACAGGTATAAATATGAAAATTTGGGGGTAGTGAAAAGAATAGAAGCGGATATAAAGTGGAAGTAGACTTCAGTAAGAGCCCTTTTCCCTGTAGGTATGCACTGCTAATTGTGGACAGTGCCACTGCCCTCTACAGAACAGACTATTCCGGTCGAGGTGAGCTCTCAGCCAGGCAGATGCACTTGGCCAGGTTTCTGCGGATGCTTCTCCGACTTGCTGATGAGGTAGGCTACAGGGCAGGGTGAGGGAATCCCCACTTTCAGGGACCACAAATTCTAGGCGTCTTGCTAGGAGACCAAGCAGGACATCATGACTTGAAATCACCAAGATAACAGATAGGAGGAGAAATAGTCAGTTATCACTTTGTGGGGGTGAAGGTGGCAGCAGTAAGGTCTTTGGACTGTCTGCAGCCACAGAATAATGACATCTGTCCTCTCCCCCACCAGTTTGGTGTTGCAGTGGTCATCACTAACCAGGTGGTAGCCCAGGTGGATGGAGCAGCCATGTTTGCTGCAGATCCTAAAAAACCTATTGGAGGAAATATCATTGCACATGCCTCAACAACAAGGTAAAAACGATGGGATAAATGTCTTTATTTTGGAATGTCATTGACTGTGAAGTAGATGCAAAGATGTAACATTTCCATTTTAAATCCCGTTAATGCTACTATTAGATAGGAGCTAAATCTAATTGTCATGCTGTGGCTAGTCCAGCTATTTGCTTTTAGTTCAAAAAGGAATTAAAAGCCCTCAGATGGAGAAGAGTGAATATGAAGAAATAATATGCCTCTCACTGATTATTAAATAATTCTTTGAATATGAACAATCTAATGGTTTAGGACAGAAATGGATTCCTCCCGGTTGGAAGTACCCTAAGGAAAACATACCTGAAGTCCTTCTAGGAAGATTTCATGTCTAAAATTTTGGGGGGTCGACCATAAATGGGAACAGAATTTAATCATAACTTTGGTACTTTGACCTGTGTCTTTGGTTCAGACTGTACTTGAGGAAAGGAAGAGGGGAAACCAGAATCTGCAAAATCTACGATTCTCCTTGTCTTCCTGAAGCTGAAGCCATGTTTGCCATCAATGCAGACGGAGTGGGAGATGCCAAAGACTAAATCATTCATTTTTCCCTGTGATAAATCTTCAGTGCTACAGCCTAGTGGAGAGGACCGCTCCCTGAGGTTCTTCACAGGCCTCTTCCTGTTGTGACTGCCAGGAAAAGGCTTCCAGGAAAACAGCTATTGTATTGGCTTCTCTGATGGTGTAAACAGGAGACAGGTCTAGTTATAAACTGATCTGATCTGTTTATTCCTTCTAGAATGTAGTATTCTCTGATGATCCCTCGGTGTTCGGAGGGGGTGTTATGGAGTACTTTTGACATACTGCCTAGGGATTGACCCAGGGCTAATAGCTGTGTCCTAGACAGTCTTAAGTCTCCAAGAGAACTAAAACTAGGGAGACCTTTTCTCATTGAAGGCTGAAAAAAATGCCTGAGCTATGTGGCAAATGGAATAGGTCTCCTGCAGCTTTATTTTCTTTAGATGCAGTGCAGGACTGCCTGTAGTTACTTGCAGTGAATATGCTGTTTATAGGAGTTAGGTATAGGCTGACCATTGCAACATAAGGCCTCCATGATCTTTTTGGTGTTGGGTAGAGTGATCATTTTCTCTTGCTTTAACATTTAAAGGGGCAGCCCTGCGTGAGCTTACTGTCACTTAGCCCGATAAATGGCTGTGCCATGGCTTTCCTGTGACCTTTGTTTTTATCCTGTAAATCGTATGTTATAGAGTCTGGCACTTGCCCAGTTACTCTATTTCAAGGGTTTGAGATACTCCATTTCTTCCCCTTCAGACTTCTACTCAGAATGGGTTTTTAACCAGCCCTTAGAATTTCCAAAGGGCCGCTCAACTAGCATAAGGAGAGCTAGTGAAAATTCTCTGCTGTTACTTCTCTTGATCCTGCTTTATGTAGGGAGATAGTCACTTTAATGCAGCTTTGGTTTTAAAATTTTAGTTCCCTGACAGAGAATGGAGCACATTTCAGGCCTTCTGTTGTCTCTATACCACAGAGTAAAGATGGTATGGTATAATAAAGCCACAGAGACAGATTCTAGAGTGGAAGCTTGGTTCTTACATAAAGTATTTCAGTGACTTTTACCTAAAAATTTTTCTGTGTGTGTATGTGTGTGTGTGTGCAATAGCCTCTATGGTAGGAAACAATTATGGAAGTCTTAAGAGCTGATAAACACAGAAAAGGGATATATAATCACTTGTAGTCAAATTTGGTTTATTTCAAGTTTGTAACAAAATATATATTCCAGGCAACTCCTCAGATCATCATTTTACAGAGTCTCACAGGCTGTTGCGTCATGTTATGCCACCTGCTGTCACCCCCAAAGCTGCCAAAAGCCAAGTGGTCCAGCCCAGGAAACAGTTAGAATCCACATGCTAGGTGAGAGAAGGCCGTATCTGTGACCTGCCCTGGCCCGCCCTTGTACCCTGGTAGGCAGGTGTGATTTAGGGCTGTATACTTTGCTGTTAATATTAGTGAAAAATATTGGCAAGGACGGTTCTGTATTTTGTCCCTATAGCGCTTTGAAGTAGCCTTCAGTCCTCTAGTAGTCTTGATTTTTTAAGCATTCGCTTGAGGGAGAGAACAAAAACCCAGGCCTCAAGTACATCCCCAATTTCAGATTAGGTAAGGGATTAGAATAAATTAACCCGTGGACAACGGGCAAGAAAAACTGGGGCAACAGTAGCAGGTACCCGTCAAAACCCAAGAGTTCGGACCCTCCCTTAAACAGTCTTGCTCAGTTTCCTGATCTAAGCAGAGCCTAAAGACTTGATTTCTTTCCCCGTAAAGGCCATCAAAATCTGATTATTCTCCTAAAATTACTTCCAATTCTTCCAGGTCCTTCTGGAAAGCTGAGTCCTAAGGAGACAAAGAAAACAGGGCTAGAACCCAAAATCTGAGCCAACATTTCCCAAACCACTGATACCTGAGAAGAGGGTTCCTCTCTGAGCTCTTAGAACCTTTCCCCTACTTCCCCCGGGTAGCCGGGACCCTGTGAACTCTAGGTGAGATACATATGCAGGAGGAATGGAAGCCAGTGGTAGCAAAGCTCTTAAAATGACTACCTCCTTAGTGACGACTGGCAGCTCCAGGGCCAACTTCATCCACTCTCTAGCTTCCGTGTTTTTCCCCAGTTCTCTGTAGCACTGCGAAAAGCCAACAGTGAGCCCTGGGGAAAATACTACCACCAGCCTCTCATCCGTGCTGAAATGGGCAGGTGAGTTTACCTTGGAAATATAGACCCTCCCTGCTTTGGAATATCCTGGCTGTAGTTCTTCAACCTGAAAAAAGGAGAAGGGATTTCCAAACTCAAGTCAGGCCAAAAACTTTGGGAGTGGGTCTGGGAGTCTGTATTTTTATTTATTTATTTAAAACTTTTTTTTTTTTTTTTTTTTTTTAAATACACAAGCACTGGGTACAGTCAGAAGCGCGGGAGGGTGAGAGAATTCACCAGAGCCAGAGCGGGGAACAGAACAGGCAGAAGGACCGAAGTACACTGCTGAGGGGAGCAGCGGGCGGCAGGAGAGGTCTGTGCGCCATGTGGGACCCTCCTCCGGTGGACGGGGAGCAGCCGGGGATCGAACTGGTGCTGCAGAGGCTGCGGGCAGCCCCGCAACCCAGCGCTCAACCGCTGCGCCACCAGGGGAGGCCCTGGGAGTCTGTATTTTTAATGAAATTTCCAGGTGGTTCTCCCTTTCCCATAGAAGAGGCAAACAGAACATTTCCCCTTACAAGAACACCCTCTCTCCCTTGCCCAGCCAATAAAACCAGCCACATTTTGTCATGTTTGGCTGCTCGCCATCCTTCCCTAGTACCTTGAGGAAGCTCTGGAGTGCATCCTGCACGGTGGCGCTTAGAGGACTCTCAGACAAGGCTGTGGCGGTTTTTCTTTCCAGCCAGGTTAGGTGAGAAACCTGCCACCAAAGCGATGATGAAATATCTTTAAGACACTGACTAGTTGATACCAAGACAGGGCCAACCAGACCTGAGTCCAGTCACCAGTGATAGTCTATTGAGGAAGGGGCACTTGGGACCAGCCTGAGGACCTCACATGCCGGACACCTGGGGCCAGCCCCGAAATTCAGCGCACCTGGTAGTTCCATCTGCCAAGTAGAAAGTGAGTCATGGGGTTGTCCGGCTGCAGAGCGATGGCTTTGTCCACATGCTCCTGCGCGAGGAAGCAGACACACATCTCACACGGGGCTGGGAAGAGGGCGGTGTGTCCTAGCGACGACAGCAATCCCCTCTGCCGGGAGCTGGCACAGAGCAAGGGGGCTGGACTCTGCCAGCACAGGGACGGGGGGAGGCCTTTCCTCACCTTGAAGCTAAAGCCACTCAGGACACGCTTCTGGATGCCCTCATGCTCAGCCAGCTGACCGCAAAGCACCGCATACCTGAGGGCAAAAGCGGCAGCAAGCTCAGGACAAGGCCTGGGAACTGTCACTGCAAGGAAGTGCTTCCCGCCAGTGGCCTGTGCTGCCCCGTCCGCTGGAGCTGGAAGTGCTCCGTTGTCGGTCCCGCGCTCAGACCTGTGGGCCTCATTCATGTCCTTTAGCAAACACAGGGGTAGGTTAACCGTTCTCCAAAGCATACTAGGTTTAGAGGCGGAGTCCTCCATAGTAAATCTCTTAATATTAAGATCTCCGCCCAGATTCTCCCCACGAGTACAGCCACGGGTGTCGTAAAGGGTCACTCAGTGGCGAGTCCTGAGTACACTGCCTTTCTGGTCCCCTGGGTGGACACTGCTGAAAAATCTCAGCCTTAGAAGTACGTGGATGTTTCACTGGAACTTGTAAACATTTTCTAGGACAAACTGGAGTGGGATGGGATGCTCTAGAAATTTTTAAACCTGAGAGCCAGCAGAAGCGGAGGCAGAAAGACCCTCCCAGTCTCCGCCGCCGCGTGCCCTCTCACGGGAACCGAGCCCGCGAGCTCCCGCCTGCCTTCCAAAACGAAGGTCTCGGTGCTCCATTCTCCCCCCCACCCCACCCCCGCAGGAACAGGGCTGCTGCTTTGTAAGCTGGCTGACGGCTGCGTTTCCTGGGGGTGAGGTCATACATCCTTTCCTCATGCCAGCCAAGCAAAGAAGCCAGAGTCCACTACAAGCTGTGGGCTGCAGCTAGGGGAGACGGGGGCTTGTGCAGGGGAGGGGTGATGCCAATGAGCCCAGCCTCTCCAAGGAGCCAAGAACCCACAGGTTGTGTGGCTGGGTAGTTTTCTAAGAGCCATCCTCTTTCCCCAAGCCTCAGCAGAGAGAGTTAGTACTTCTTGCCCCACCCCAAGGCGCCTCCCAAAGAAAACTTCCCTGGGTTCCTGGCTGGGGGCTGGATGGAAAGAAAAGGCAGAGCGCCCTCTCCTGGCTCCCCCGGCAGAGCCGTCAGGACCGGGGCTGAGGAAGGGCGCGCCCAGACCCCACCGCCAGTCATTACCATTGGTGACAGTCAGCGCTCTCGTCCCCCTTCTCCAGAGCAGCCTCGGCAGCTTCTTTTCCTGCAAACAAAGGTGATCCAGAGTCAGTCGTTCCTCCCGAGCACACTGACGTGGAGAGGATGGGCTGACAGAACAGCTGCTGTAGTGCTCGCCCACCCCGACCGCCTGACCGGAACTTGATGACTGCAGAAAGCTGCTCGGGGATGACTATTTCTCTCTCTGTCCTCTGCTGCCCCGGCTAGTCTGCTGTACCAGTCCCCACCCTGGTGTCCAAGCATTTCAAAAAATGAAAAGACCCCAACTTCACAACAGGCCTTACGTGTGGGTAGGCTTCAGGGTGTCTGAAGCCCTCTGAGGCTGCAGGTACATGTGCATTTTACTAAGAGGGGCCACGGCTTTGGTCAAATTTTCAGAACGATCCCTGATCTAAAAATAATCATCATGGCTCAAGGCCAGCACGCTTCACAAGAGCCTTGACTTTCACTTAGTCTTACCCAAGTTTCCTAGGTGCCACGATGAACAGCAATCAAGGCCCACCCATGTGAACGCCTTGACAAGCGTTCGTTCCCTAGAGTGTGAAGGAACCTGCATCCCTCCAGAGGAGGACCGCCGCGTCTACACCGAGCACACTGCAGAATGGGCCTTCTCCCTCTGTTGAAGTGGAGAGGGGACTTGGAACATGGAAGAAATGGAACGAAATTAAAGTGCTGAGATGGTGGGCTGTCTCATTTGAAATGTTTCCTCAAACTCCAGGGTTAATGTGGTACAATGTACAACAAATAGGAGTACATTTTTAACATGGCCAGGGAGAGCCCGGTGTCCCCCTTTCTAAACAGAAGGACCACAGAGACCTGCCAACAAAAGACATTGTTCTCGGGGAGTTCTGTCCCCTTCAGAGCATCTCACTAGGAGAATACACAGCGCAGAATGAGACAGCTAGTTCCTGCTAAGCTGGACAGATGAACAGTGATGGCCTGGGAGCCCACAGCACGGCTGCCTTCTGGTGGTGGTCCAGCTTCTAGAGCTAGAATATAAAGAACTTCAGCTTTAGCAGGGATGGTCTTAGAAAGTGTCTTGAAGGGCCTCCCTGGGGGTGCAAGGGACACAATGACATCCCCTTAAGTCGCAGCAGTATGAGCTATCTGTAGCCACTGCAGCACAAGTTTGATCCCGGCCAGGGAGCTACCCACATGGCGCAGCAGACCTCTCCTGTCTCACCCACTGCTTCCCTCAGCAGTGTGTTTCAGTCAGTCTGCCTGTTCTGTTCCCCGCTCTGTCTCTGGTGAATCTTCTCACCCCCCCCACACACCTCTGGCCTGTACCCCAATTCTTGTATGCATAAATATTTTTTATTAAAAAAAAAGTGTCTTTAAGACACTCCAGCCATCTGGCCTCCAGCAGCAACAGACATCCGGGAACACTAAGCTGGGGAAACCGAACTGGACCAACACTGGCTGTGGCATCTCTGCCTTAAAAGACCGTGCTGCCGGCTGCTAGTGCTAATAGGTACACCAAGAGTCCAAAGCCGATCGGCTGATTTCATCTGAAATTTAGGAGGGAAAATAGAAACTGTTTTGAAAAGAAAAACTAAGTGCCACTTGTTACAACTTCCAGCAGTTTTTTGGTGTTTTTTTTTTTTTTTTTTTTGAAGACTTGTATCAAACATTCAACCCCATAGCCTGCTCTAGTTAGGGCAAGAGAATTCGACAATGTTTAGAGCAGTGACCTTGACATGCCGTCAGATTCTAGATTATTGGAGATTCAGTAATAGTTGCATGGTTCTGCTAATAAAAGTGGGGAAGGAGATGGATGTGCGCTTCATAGTTCTGTCAGCTCTGGGTAACAAGACCGGCGGTGCCGGGCTCAGACACATCACCTGTCCCAGAGACCAGTCTCTTGCAATCACCAGGACCGCGTGACGTCATGACAAACAAGGAGGAGCCCGTGCCTGGCCTAAGGCGGATGGACCTACCACCGGGGCACAGCGTCTGACAACAGGGGTGCTGTTGCTGAGTAGATCCCAAGGATTGCTCAGCCAAACTGCTGCTTCTAGGCGCTTGCCAAATACACCCCACTCACCCTATCCTCAGAACAGCTGCCCCACAGGCTCCATGACTGAAAACAGATTCTGCAGCAGCAAAATACCCCTTCACATTCCGGGGTCTGGGCCCCTCTGTGTGGCTGGGAATGAGAAGAATCACGCTAACGTGACATAACTACTCAAAAACGTGCACCTGCTAAGCCCCAAGCTCCGACAAGCTGCAGCCATCTCTGCCCTAAGGAGGAAGCCGAGGCCCCTTGGAGCCTGAGTGTGTCCCTAGTGAGATGAGCCGGAAGTGCCGCGACCTGTGTGGTTCTGCTGGACCCCGGCCGCTTCGCCCTGGGACAGCCACCTTCCCGGGCAGCCCTGGGCACTTACCCTCCTGGGCGTATGTCTTCTTCTCGCTCGCCTCCTCGCTGAGCTCGCACATGTCACTGTAGGCCCGAGCCAGGCGCCAGAGAAAGTCCTGCTGGCTTCCATGCTGCGGACCAAATAGAGCAAATGAGGCGCCCTTTCCTCAGCGGCAAGGAGTTGGGCCCCTGGCCTTCTCCCCTACTCCAGGTTTGTTTCCAAACCGCTGTTACAAAACAATCAGCCTTACGCACAGCCCCCCACTCCTGTGACCTCCCACATGCAGTTAACTGGCGACACATCTCCAGCCAACAGGTTGCACAACAGCGAGCGCCTGACACTGAGGAGGAAAAGGTCAATCCCAAGGCGCAGTGGAGGCAGAGCGGGCGCGAAGCCTTGCCGGCACAGGAAGAAAATGGAAATACCCAAAGCGGGAGGAGTCTAACTTTGGGGGCCTTTACACCTGGACAAACAAATTTTGGCTGTGAACCTAAGGAAAAGGGGTGGCATTCGATTGACACGCGCGCGTGCACACACGTCACTTGTGGTAGAAACTTGAAGCAGGGGCAGCAGCTTGGGCACTGCGTCAGGGGAGCTAGGAGAGGAACACAGCATTCCAGGCCTCCGGATGCCCTCCTGCAGTGAGAGGTGGGGTGGTTTTGCAGTCGGCGCTACAGGAGGCCTGTCTGCCATTGGAATAAGATGCGCCGCCCTGGGCGCCCAAGGCAGAACCACAACCATCTCCCCTCATTTCCCTTTCCAAGTCACCGTGCAGGTGAGTGACCACATCTAGCTGCCCGTGGGGCGGGGGACAGGCAGCTGGGGCCTTACCTCAAGCTTCTTGTTGAGCAGCAGCTGGAAGCCCTCCCGCTTGCTCTGCTCACTGCCCCGGTGCAGCTCGTCCGCCTGCCGAAGGAGGGGCAGCAGCACCTCCTCCAGGCCAGAGCAGCCTCCAGCCTCCAGGGCGGCAGGCACCTGGCTGGAAGCCACCTGCAGGTCCAGAGAATCCTTTCTCCCCATCTTCACAGTCTCACAGATCACTTCATCGTCCCCATCCTCACTCTCCCGGTCGGAGTCCCGCTCGTAGTCAGACTCGGCATTGGCTGTTGTGTAACTGGCGGAGAAGTGAAGTGACGGGGTCAAGGGAGGGGATAACTCGGCCTCAGAGCACCCACCCCCCGAAGTCTCGTGGCATTGTCCAAAGCACCAAGAAGGAACCATCCCCGCTGCTTATGAGCAGAATTAGTCCCCCGGAGAAAACTTCCTATGGGAACTGTGGCCTGGAAAAATAACCTGAGAGGCATGAGTGACCAACCCGGGCCATGTGAGCAACAGAGAACCCCTGCTTAGTTACCACCAAGTCTGCCAGAAAACATAAAAAAAGGCCTAGAGAGGTATGTATCAAAATGTTGCCAACAGAACTCAGAGTAGGGCCTCCCTGGGGGCGCAAGAGGTTAAGAGGAAACCTATGAAGCTATCCGCACTGCAGCACAAGTTCACTCCCCGGCCAGGGAGCTACCCACATGGCGCAGCAGACCTCTCCTGTCTCGCCCACCGCTCCCCTCAGCAGTGTATTTCAGTAGATCTGCCTGTTCTGCTCTCCGCTCTGTCTTTGGTGAATCCTCTCACCAGAGGATGCACCTCTGGCCTGTACCCCAGCTCTTGTATGCATAAATCAATCTTAAAAAAAAAAACCAAAAAAAAACTCAAGCAGATGAATTAAAGGTAATTTTTTCTGTCTTTTCTATTTGTGCTTTAGTGAGCAAAATTCTAAGAACTGCTCAAGATAAAAATGTAGGTGGGGCTGATCTGAACTAGACAACTCACCAGGCTAAGGACTTGGTAATCATTTCTGCTTATCAGCCAAAGGCACCTGCCAGAACCAACATGGGTGGGTGCCAGCCTCCGAGGCCATGGGCAGCCACATATCCACATTTTCTTTCTCAATGTGTACCTTTGTTCCAAGCTAACCTATGCCACAGCAGGAGGAACCTTTGGGAACTCACTGGTGTGGGTGTGGGGCACTTCGCAGCAGCTAGAGGCAGGAGAGGACGATGATGGTGGCCTCCACCAGCAGCTTATTAGGGTGTTTTCCCTGGTTGCCACATGAATCAGACCAAAACTGAGCAGAGAAGACTTCGTAGGCCAGAACCTTCTAGCAAAGAGCCCTTCAGGCTGAGTGAAGGTAAAGCAGGTGTATTATCAGAGCCAGAAGGTGCTGAGGCACAGGGATGGTCTTAGGATCACTTAGGGGAGACTTTCTCCATTCTGGAAGGAAAAGGGGTAGGATCCCTATGGCTGGAACAAAAGTGAGATGAGAAAAGCAACTACAAATAAATCCAAATGAAAATGTGCTAAAGTCAGCAGCTGAAAGTGCCATCTTCCTCACCCAGAAAGCCAGTGACCAGGAGGCAGGCTCTGAAGGCACCACCTGGGCACCCAGACCTGGTGCCCAATCTGTGCTGACTACTTTATAGAGGAGCTTCCACAGAGATCTACCAGGGGACCCCAGCAGCACTTAACTTCCTAATCTCACCCTGCCTTATAACCTTTCCCCTCTAGAACTTTAGAAAGTAAAGGGACAGGGCCTCCCCGGTGGCGCAGCGGTTGAGCGCTGGGTTGCAAAGCTGCCCGCAGCTTCTGCAGCGCTGGTTCCCTCCCCGGCTGCTCCCCGTCCACCAGAGGAGGGTCCCACATGGCGCGCAGACCTCTCCTGCCGCCCGCTGCTCCCCTCAGCAGTGTACTTCGGTCCTTCTGCCTGCTCTGCTCCCCGCTCTGGTGAATTCTCTCACCCTCCCGCGCTTCTGACTGTACCCAGTGCTTGCATAAATAAATAAATAAATCTTTAAAAATAAAAAAATAAACAGGTATCTCTCCCAGTCTTTTTTTAAAAAAAAAAAAGTAAAGGGACAGGGAAAAGTATGTTAACAGATTTCACGACCAACCTGTGTGGTGAGGAGCAAGACCATAAAGAGGTATGGCCTAGAGCTTCCAGCGATCCCTTCAGACAGTGACCCAAATGACAAAATCAAATCTCCACCAGTGCCCCACTCAGGCAAAATGGGTAACTGGATTGTCTGGGGTAGAAAGGCTCAGTTTTGTCATCCATTGAGGACAGAACTGTCTTGGCCAAGAGGGAGTTGAACTCTGGAGTCTCCCTGCTCTCAGGCCTCCAGAGCACGGGTGTTGGCACAGACTGCAGGGAGCTGAGCCAGGAGGACAGTCCTGCAGGGCTTAGGGTCTAAAAGCACTGGGGAGTTCAGTCAAGGAAAAGCCTGAGTGGTAGAGCCCTGGGAGGTGGGGAGGAGGCTGGGGTGACGCAGGTGCCTTTTACTGCACCTCGGCCCCACTGGAGGGGCTCTGCCTTACTCATCTGCCGCTCCCCTTGCCCTCAGCACGAGCAGAGAGCAAACGTGCCCCAACAACAGCCTGTGGGCTTCCAGGGTACTTTTGTCTGACATGCTCTGCCATTTTTTAGGTCAGGGACTGGCGGGGCCTTTGAAAAGGCCCTTTGGGTCTTTGTACTCGGGTAGAACCCACTGTCCCCATCAAGGACCCAAGACTCGATGCAGGACAGAGCGACTCTACTCTTTTTTTCTTTAAAGATATTTTTGCATAGAAGAACTGGGGGGTAGGCCAGAGGATTCACCAGAGACAGAGTGGGGAGTAGAACAGGCAGATGTACTGAAATACACTGCCGAGGGGAGCAGCGGGCGAGGCAGAAGGTCTGCTGCGCCGTGTGGGCCACCTCCCTGGCTGGGGATTGAACTCAGGCCGTCTCAGTGAGCCTTCGCAGTGGTAGCACTGAGACTTAACCCCTAGGCCACCTAAAGATATTCTGCAAGTCAGTGATCATTACTTCCTCTTAGCAATTAAATTTCTTTCAGCTCTTCCTAAGCCCTATTAGAGGGGTTCCTCTGAGACAATCAAGAGAGACAGGCCTGGGGCCTCCCTGGTGGCGCAGGCGATTGAGCACCACACTGTGAAACTGTCCCCAGCCTCTGCAGCGCAGGTTCAATCCCGGCCAGCCGCGAGGATCCCACATGGCGCGGCAGACCTCTCCTGTCTCGGCCGCTGCTCCCCTCAGCAGTGTATTTCAGTCAGTCTGCCTGTTCTGTTCCCCACTCTGTCTCTGGTGAATCCTCTCACCCTCCTGCACATCTGGCCTGTACCCCGGTTCTTGTATAAATAAATAAATGTTAAAAAAAAAAAAAAGATAGGCCTGGATCCTAACCCTACGAGACTTAGTGGTAGGGAAGATGAGAGCAACTTAAGTGAAGTGATGAATGCCTAAGGAGTGGCAATGAGGGTACAGGCAACCCTCCGTGGCTGGGAAGCCCAGAAGGCTCGCTAGGGCCGGCTGCATTCTGACGGGGAGGGAATAAAGCTGCGCGTGGGACAATGCTCAGGGAACCAGCTCACACACCCACTGGGGATTCTGGCTCTGCCACATTCACTTGACTCCCTGGGAGCTCTCCACCCCTCAGAGCAGCACTCCCCCAGGCCTGCATGCTCAAAGCCACCCCAGAGTGTGTGGTCTCTCAGAATCTCCTCTGACCTACATTGCACTGACCATTGCAGTAAGAATTACCCACTGTGGCCGCTGGCCCAGATAGCAGCCAGCTACACCCGTCTTGCACCACATGTCACAGGATCAGTCATGGGCCGAGTCTGCTGAAATTTTATTTAAAGGTTTTTTTTTTTATAATTTTTTTTAAGATTTACTTATTTATACCAGCACTGGGTACAGTCGGAAGTGCGGGAGGGTGAGAGAATTCACCAGAGCCAGAGCGGGGAGCAGAGCAGGCAGACTGACGAAGTACCCTGCTGAGGGGAGCAGCGGGCGGCAGGAGAGGTTTGCGCGCCATGTGGGACCCTCGCCTGGCAGCCGGGGATCGAACCGGCGCTGCAGCAGCTTTGCAGCCCAGCGCTCAACTGCTGCGCCACCGGGGAGGCCCCCTCTGCTGAAACTCTTAACTGAAGAAGCACCTTCCTACTGCCCTGCTGCCCTCCCACACAGGCTGCTGGGAGGCTTGCCCTGTTCCCTTTATGGTCTTGGGAGTCCCAGTGACACCCCAAACAGTGATGCACCCACAGGTTTCCCTGGTTAACCTCTGGCTCTCAGTGGCCACAAATGTATACAACTTCCTAAAATCATCATGAAGAACCCCGAGTTCTACATCCTGATCTTGAGCAGAGCCGTAACTACTCTTCTGTTCCACCCTCTTACAAAGTTCAAGTGATAATTCTCCACCCAAGTGACCCACTACTTTAGCCTTTTCAATCCAGGTGTGTCAATACTATCATAATTTCATTTCTGCCCCCTCCTCTAACATAGCCCTCCAGAAGCGTATGTTGGCCAGAGGTTATTAGGCAAATTGAATAGAAAGGGCCACTTCTGGGCCTCCCAGGTGGCGCGAGGGGTTAAGATGCAACCTGTGAAGCTATCCACAGCCTCTGCTGCATGAGTTCAAGCCCCGGCCAGGGAGCTACCCACATGGCACAGCAGACCTCTCCTGACTCGCCTGCTGCTCCCATCAGCAGTGTCAGTCGATCTGAATCCTCTCACCACACACCTCTGGCCTGTACCCCAGTTCTTTTTTTTTTCTTTTTTAAAGATTTATTTATGCATACAAGAACGGGGTTACAGGCCAGAGGTGCGGGGGTGAGAGGATTCACCAGAGACAGAGTGGGGAACAGAACAGGCAGACTGACTGAAATACACTGCTGAGGGGAGCAGCAGGCGAGACAGGAGAGGTCTGCTGCGCCATGTGGGTAGCTCCCTGGCCAGCCAGGGATTGAACTTGTGCTGCGATGGCTGCAGTTAGCTCCAGAGGTTGCATCTTAACCCCTTGCACCACCAGGGAGGCCCTGTACCCCAGTTCTTGTATGCATAAATAAATCTTTAAACAAAAAAAAAGGAAAAAAAAAGGGCCACTTCTACTAGTCCTTGAGAATACAGACAACAGGGGTCAGGTGACCCATACAACAGCAGTCATTAGCGGGGTACTAAAGCCTCACCAAGACTTGTTTCAAGAGGCACCTTGGTGACAATGAAATCCAGACAACAGCAGTGACAGGGAAAGCATAAAACATTTTCTCAAAATCAAATGAGGGGCCTCCCTGGTGACACAAAGGGTTAAGCACAGCACTATGAAGCTCTCCGCAGCCTCTGCAGCACGAGTTTGATCCCCTGGTCAGGGAGCTACCCACATGGCGCAGCAGACCTCTCCTGTCTCACCCGCTGCTCCCCTCAGCAGTGTATTTCAGTCAGTCTGCCTGTTCTGTTCCCCACTCTGTCTCTGGTGAATCATCTCACCCCCCCCCAATCTCTGGCCTGTACCCCAGCTCTTATATGTATAAATAAATAAATCTTACCAAAAAAAAAAAATTGAGGAGAGGGAGGAGAATACAATGGCCCAGACAAGAAAACAAGGCTAACAGTCTTGAGTAAGATGTACGGAATAAACTGCAGCACAACGTGCAGGTCTTCTGCGCAGTGAGCTGGGGTAGCGCTCAGCCAACGAGAAGAACACCCAAGGCACGCTGGCGCCATCTTCCTGAAAAAGCCCTTTGTGCCCTGAGAAGCAGGCCCTGCCTCATCCAAGGCTCTCTCACATCCCTGCTGATGAGCCACCCTGTCAGGAGAGGGGGACCAAGCATGCATGTCGTGGCTGAAGAGTCCTGGGCATGGCATCAAACCCCACCAGGCCTCACGTCTCCATCTGAGGAACAGGAAGAACAGCAACACTACCTCCCAGAATCCTTATGAGAATTAAGTGAGAAAATACCTCTAAAGTGCTCACACACCCCCCAAAGAAAAAATTAAGTTAAAAAATAAAGTGCTCACAAAGTGTCTGTCGCAGAGGAATAGACAGTAGTTTCACCAGGCGTCTGGGTGCAAGCAGGACGGTGCTGCAAGGATGACCCTGAATGGCTGGTTTTAACTCCTCGTGTCCATGTGCATCTTTATAGATGCATCACCTGACCTGACAGAACCCCTGTCTGTTCTCTGAACCAACTTTCCCCTTGAGGAGAAAGGTCAGGCGCGGCCACCAAGGACAGGTCAGTTTCTAGACCTCACACCGGCCCCCAGACGACCGAGCAGGGCGGACAAAGGCAGATGCATCGGGCACCACGACAGTTACTGACTCAGACTCCAGCCTTCGGATCAAAGTTTCCACATGGAAAAGGTAGCCAAAACGTAAACAAAAATAAAAAGGTTGCCGAATGGCACTCATGGCTTAACATCAAACCGCCGCTCCCGCAGATGTTCACCCGCAGATGTTCACCGCGCAACCCCAGCGCCCCAACAGCGACCCCGCCCTGGCCTGAGGCTGCGCGAGCTGCGGGCGCCCCTGCCGGAAGGGCACTCGGCCTGGCTCTCACTCGATGAGACAAAGCCCTAACGCTACACCTACAAAGTCCTTGGACAGGGAAAGCGCCGCCCTACGGCCTCCGGGCAGGCGGCGACCAGGCAACACTGGCGTCTGGGTGCTCCCCGGCGGACGGGTTCTCTGGGGCGGCTGCTCCGTATTTTATTTCATTCACACGCGCACTTTCCTCCAAAAATTGATTACAGCTGCTTGGTCTGAATTTCCCATTTTTTACAAAACATCATCTGCTGGAGAACGACGTTTCCAGGAGACTCACCCGCCTTCGCTCTCGGCGTCTGTGAGCGCGGCTCCCGACGCGGCCGTGAAGTACACGGAGCTGGAGCCGGTGGAGTCGCTCCTCTCCCGGGCAAACGGGAACCTTCGTCGCCGCGCCACTCTCTGGTTCTCTTCCAAATGGGATCTGAAAAGCAGGCCCCTTTCTAGGCCCCATCCAGCCTGTCGCCTCCTCCCCGGGAGGAAGCCTCTTACACCACTCTTCACTAAAGGGCCAAGAGCAGAGCAAACCCTGCGTGCCCCCCGGGAAAGCACGAAGGGCAGCTCCCCGCCCGGCCGCACAGCAGACACGGTGCGCCAGCGCAGAGTGTTTCAGCTGCTACAACAGACCGCAGGGGCCAGACCCAGAAAGGATGTGTGCAAGCCAGGAACCAAGCAGATGACTTCCCCCCAAACAAGGTGAGAAGTTGTGGAAAAAGAAATAAAAAAGGCTTCTTCCTTAGCAACAGACAGCAGAGGCCAGGACACACCTCGGCTGTAAAGGCTAGAGGCAGGGAAGTGGGGCGGGCAGCGAACAAGGCAGCAAAGGAGACTGGTACTCACCGAACCTCCCCAACAATCTCCCCAGCCAGCCCCTGCAGGCTGCTCCGCAGCTCCTCCACCTCCCGCCGCAGGGCCACCAGACTGGTCAGCACAAAGTCCAGGCGGTCCAGCACCTCCTCCTGCCCTGCTCGTGGAAGGCTGGGCAGCACCGCAGCATCTCCAGCCTCACCTGGGATTGCCCGCAATGGCCTCACTGAAAGGAGGACAGGAGACAGCGATGCCCATGGCATGTATGACGAAAGGATCTGGGACCTAGAAGTCAGGAACGCTTGCTTCTCTTTGGAGCTCAATTTACAGACAAGATCCTTGCGGTTCAGACAATGTACCCTCACAACTAGGTCCTGATAACAAGCCCTGGCAAACTATCAAAGTTCCAATCTCTAAATAAGAACCCTCTGTTTCAAGAACCTTCCATGGCAGACCATGTAAAATGCTTGCGAGAGTGTGCTGCCCTACTCGAGTGAAGAAAACCTACCACCTGACTGTATGAGCCCAAATCCCAGGTGGTCATCAATACCAGCCACGGCAAAACGAAAAGTGAGCTCCTCAAGTTCTGACCTCATTTCACAAAGAACAGCAGAGAAAAGTCAGCTCCTCTCAACAACTTCATTTCGTCTCATCAGAGCAAGGCCAACAGAATAGGGGCCGTTGCTGAGGTAACAGCTACACTAGAGAAAACCCATCCTGCCCCCCTTGAAAAAACATCACTACCAAGCCCTGAGCAGAGCGCTGGGTAAATTCCAATGGCCAAATGCCAGTAAACAGGTAACTGCCTCAGAGAATGAGGTGGAACTGTGAAACAACAGGAAAGAAACAAGGAGGGAGGATCCAGAGTCCAGGCATAAATGCATTAAGGCCAGATTACAAAACACACCCAGTAACGTTCAGAAACGGTGAGCAACAAAGATCCCTGGGGGCATGGCCCTTTTCTCCCAAGCTCGGCGGAAGACAGCTGCTGAGAAGTTACAGATGAGCAAGCACAAGGAAAAGGCAGGAGCGACAAGCACGCTTGCAGGTGACCACTGGGTTCTAAAATGCTGACGGTCGACATCCAAGGCAATGATGACTTTGCCAATCCATCCGGCATCGGTCATCGGAGAAACAGGCATTTCTAATCAACCCGAGCGAGGGTCCGCACGCTCCTCGCATACCAACTTCAGGGGCGTGATCTGAACCAGCTGCAGGTGCTTTGCTCAAGTGCGTTCACGTGAAAGGTTTGCAAAGCTGAAAGCGCTGCCCACTTCAGCCATGGCTGGCTCCCCACCGTGTGCAGCTTCCACTGCAGTAAGTGCAGTCCCAGCTCCTGGTATGGAAGTCCCTGGTCTAGGTGGCCAGGCCCAATCCTGCCACTTACTTGCTCTAGGACAACCTCCCGAAAGTTACACAATCTTTTTGAATTTCAGTTTCCTCATAAGGGGGATTAAAAGCAAAAAGGAGTAGATAACCTCCAAGGCCCCTTCTAGTATGTACATCTCAAGACTCTGAATCCCTGCAAGATCATTCTTTTTGCCTTCCCTTGGCCTCGTCCTCTACTCAAAGCATCGCACCCACACTGCACAGGTGGCGTCAGTACATGGACACCACACTTGTGGCCGCAACTGAAAGTGAAAGATAAATTTTTTTTCACCCTCTTCTTTCCTGGGATTATAGGGGAAAAGAGTAGTTTCAGGGGCTGTAAACGCCGCGAGGGACCCCAGGCCCAGCCTCCCTGTGGTCTCAAGTGACAGGCTCCTTACCCTGGTGCTCCGGCTCCGAAGTCTGCGCGTAACCCAGGGAGTTGGGCAGGCTCTGGCCATGATGCCGGGTCCGTTTCCACCGCTGGCTGTAAAGGGCACACAGGAATCCCAGGCCCGAGGCGGTGCCCAGCAACAGTCCCAGCCCCGCGCGGGCGCCGCCAAAGGCCCCCAGCCTAGGCATGCCGCACCTGCAGAGCCCGCGCGGGCCGGAGGCGAAGGGAGGGGTGTGAGAGATTCGTGAGTCCAGTCCACGCACCCCTAAGGCCGAACCCCTGAAGACAGCTCACTTCCTCAGACCCTGGGCTCCCGACTACCCTCATCCCCATCCGTACCCTAAAATCTTCCGCCCGCCCACAGCGCCTGGACGCCGCGCCGCTCGCCCGCGCGGGACGCCGCCTGCCTTCCCTCCACACGCCCCCCGTCCTGACCGGTTTGGGGCTCCAGCTCCTTCCCGCGCCTCAGGACGCTGCGAGCAGGCCCGCCGTCCTCGCGGCCAGCGCCCGGCCTCCCCGCGCCCCGGGAGCGCGCCCGGGAGCGAGAGGAGGCGAATTCCGACCCTCACCTTGCTGCTCTCCACCATGGCAGCGGCGGCGCCGCCTCACGCTGTCAATGACCGTGACGTCACTAAGCGACGCCATCAGCCACGCGCGCCGTTGTTAAGAAGGCGCGATGAGATGACCACACGAAGCTCCGCCTCCGCCGCCCGTTTTCCCCGAGGGGTGGGGCCGGGGGCGCGGGGGCGGGGTCACGCGAGAGGGGCCCGGAGACCCGCGCACGGGAGCGGGGAGAGGGGGGAGGGAAGCGGGGGCGTTCCTTGGCCCGGATGCTGAGCCGGAGCCCCCAGAGGCCGGCGGCCGAGGCGCCTTTCCCTGCAGTCGGCCCTGCTGTCCCGGGACAGCAGCTCAGCACGCCCGCGCCCTGACCTGCGGGTCTCCTGTTGCTTCTGCTTAAACGACTCAGTCTCCTAACTGCGAAGTGCCGTCCCCGGTGCGCAGCGCTGTCATGGCGCGTTCTTGGTCTCGACTGAATAGTTTATAAATTTTTTCAAGCCATTTACTACATTTATAGCGCTGTTTTCAGTTCAAATTAGTTAGAACAGATAAATTGCTGGTTATCCACAAGAGATCCCTGAGTACTGCTAGCCCTTGAAAATTCATAAAGTATACCCCAGCATTAAAAGAACAAAACAACAAGAACAAAAAAAAAAAAAACGGTGGACTTGGTGGACTAGGGGTTCCTCCCTGGTGGACTAGGGGTTAAGTCTCAGGGCTGTCACCACTGCCTCCTAAGTTAGATCCCAGCCAGGGAGCTACCCACATGGCGCAGCAGACCTCTCCCGTCTCATCCATTGCTCCCCTTAGTAGTGTATTTCACTAAATCTGCCTGCTCTGCTCCCCACTCTGGTGACATTCTCCTCTCTCTCTCTCTCTCTCTTACACACACATCCCCCCAAAATCCCCCCACCTCTGGCCTAGACCCCAGCTCTTCTATGCAAAAACAAAATCTTTTTTAAAAATTTAAAGCTTATACTCTTACTAATTGAACTAAGTGTTATAAACTTCTCCATTTCCAGAATGTAAATAAAATTCATTCATCTAATAAAAATTTTTAACATTTGAGTGAGATTGATCTCTGCTTGAAGTGGTTCAGATACCACTCGGGTTGGTTGGTTGGTTGGTTTTTTTATGCATACAACAATTGGGGTATAGGCCAGAGGTGCCTGGAATGAGAGGACTCACCAACAGAACAGGGAGAATGGAGTAGGAAACAGAACAATTACTGAAATATACTGCTGAGGGGAGCAGTGGCAGACACAGGAGAGATCTGCTATGCCATGCAGGTCAGCTCCCAGGCACTTTGGAGCTCAAGCTGCAGTGTCTGGTGATAGCTTGATAGTGCTGAGACTTTAATCCCTGCACCACCAGGGAGGCCCTGGTTTGGTTTTCTTTTTTAATCTCTGTTCATTAGTTTTGCGGTTCCCACCATGGCCTATAGATTCTTTTATGATTTCATTTTGCTCTTTTGATTTCATGCAATTGCTTGTAATTTTAGAAATAAAGAGATGTGGCTTTATGGATTATGGTTCTAATTTTATCAGCATTTCTAAAGAGTTAACATTTAGATTAGTGACAGCGGATATAGATCTAGATTAGTCCTCTCAAATCCTCATCTAGATATTTACCTTTTGTATTATTTGTTTTATTTTTATCATATAAGAGTACAATTGCTGTAAATGTACATTGCAAAGAATAATTTAGGTTCTCCCTGGTATCCAGAGAGCTCACCCATTTGGCAGAGCAGACCTCTCCTGTCTCACCCGCAGCTCCCCTCAGCAGTGTATTTGTTCCCCACTCTCTCTAGTAAATCCTCTCACCTCGCCCCCTCCCCCACACACCTCTGGCCTGTACCCCAGTTCTTGTATGCATAAATAAATAAATATTTTTTTAAAAAAGAATAATTTTAGGGCCTCCCCTGGTGGCGCAGCGGTTCAGCGCTGGGTTGCGAGGCTGCCCTCAGCCTCTGCAGTGCCAGTTTGATCCCCGGCCACCAGCGAGGGTCACACACACACACACAAAAAAAAGAATAATTTTAAAGCAATGAAGTACCCACTTAAAAAACAGAATTTCAGGCCTCCCCGGTGGCGCAGCGGTTGAGCGCTGGGTTGCGAAGCTGCCCGCGGCCTCTGCGGGGCTGGTTCGATCCCCGGCTGCTCCCCGGCCACCGGAGGAGGGTCCCACATGGCGCGCAGACCCCTCCTGCCGCCCGCTGCTCCCCTCAGCAGTGTACTTCAGTCCTTCTGCCTGCTCTGCTCCCCGCTTTGGCTCTGGTGAATTCTCTCACCCTCCCGCTCTTCTGACTGTGCCCAGTGCATGTATAAACAAAAAACAAACAAACAAATAAATAAAACATGCCTCTATAAAAAAAAAAAAAAAAAAAAAACAGAATTTCACCAGCAGCTCCTACTGACTTTTAAAATTCAGTTCAGGGGAGTTGCAATTGTATGGGGAATATAAAAATAAAATCTATTATTTAAAAAAAAAATAATAAAATAAAAAAATAAAATAAAATAAAATTCAGTTCAATTAGTACCTGTTGAGATACACTAAGAGATAAACTATGATTGTCTTGCTGGTGAAGAAAATGTTTTAAATATAATTTTCTGTATTTTTTCCATGTTTTCTGAAATAAGCATATATTTTTTATGTAATTAAAAATGTTGACTTTGTTTTGGAGGGAATGAAAATTCATTTCCTCTGGGAAACCTTCCCAAACGCCACCTTGGAGTTCATCTTTTATCTTGAGCTGCTCCCGATGCTTAGTTACTTCTCTTACACTTGGTTCTATGATTATTTGCTTTTTAGTCTACCTACCCCATTGGACTTCTCACGCTTCCAGGGCGGGGTTCGTGCCGATGCATCTCCACAGGCCCTGTGCCTAGCACAGCTCTAATGCAGAGGACATCTCTGAAAACAGAATAGAGGGAGAAGAAAAGAATGGATGACCAAGATCCAGGCCTTGCCATGATGAAAGGCTGAGCTGTAGAACAATTCTCTTTTTACAAGGGAGAGACATGTGCCAGATAAACTGATTGTGGCAAAACCAGATGGGCAGACAGAGCGGGGGAATTCATTTCCCTCTGGATATTAAAGATGTTATCTGGTGGGCATGCAGCTGCCAGGGTAATCAGCGGTGGGGTAGGCGATTCAGGATGGCGTGCACTCTTAGGCTGCATCTGCAGTCCCATTCTGCAAATGTAATAAAGCCCTGACAGCCTGGCTACCAGCACTTCCCTCCTGCCTCCTGCCCACGCCTCCACCCACCCCCTCAGCCCAAGAGAGGAGAGCAGAGCAGACCCCAAACCCCTGTCCTGCTTTCTGCCCAGAATGTGAACGCCTCATCTGCTTGGCTCTTCCAAGGGAGGTGACATAGTCAAATGGCATGGATGGTGGCCTCCCCTCTTGTGTCTAATCACTAAGGCACTTGATACTTTAAAAAAATCATGCTTTAAAATTGTTCTAATTAAATATTTAATGGTTACGGGCTTACCTGATGGCACAAGGGGTTAAGCACAGCACTATGAAGCTGATTGCAGCCTCCGTAGCATGAGTTCAATCCCCGGCCGGCCAGGGAGCAACGCACATGGCACAGCAGACCTCTCCTGTCTCTCCCGCTGCTCCCCTCAGCAGTGTATTTCAGTAGCTCTGCCTGCTCTGTACCCCACTCTGTCTCTGATGAATCCTCTTACCTCCCCCCCAACCACTGTGCCTCTAGCCTGCACCCCAGCTCTTGCATGCATAAATCGTTAAAAGATAAATATTTAATGGCTACAAAAGAATACCTATAACACATATATAAAGACTAAAAAGTTATAACCCTTTGCATCCGCATCCTAGTATAAGAACAAAAACATCACTTTTGCCTTTAAAGACCTCCGCATGTCCCAACCCACCCTATCCCTTCCCTTCTCAGAGGTAACCACTCCTCTGAATATGCATTTACCGTCCCTGACTTTTCTTTATAAACACGTATGTTTATAGGCGGAGAGTGATACCTACCGGAATGCCGGTCAGTCTTAGAGTCCCCTCCGCCAATAAAAGGAAACAGTTTGAGGACAAGGGGAGAATGAGCAAGGGTCAGTATGTCCACTCTTTGTATTCCGGTTCACTCCAGCCAGCCTGCTTCCTCTGGTGGTCAGCAATTCTGATGTTATCTTTGCAGGGAGGCTCTTTGCCCTTGGAATGTAAAAGAACAGGGTTTAGTAGGCCCTGGGGGAACTTATCTGGTGAGACACAGATATATATTTTGTTGCATCATGTCCCCCACTCTTCCAGTTCTACGCGAGAACAGGGTGTTGTAATCCTGTGGCTAGTGCCTGTTAAACTGGGCTGTAGTTGGGAATTTTAATTGTGGAAGGAGTCTGTGGTGGTGCAGCAGCACTAAGTAACATAACATACATAGTCCCAAATGTACTGGAGGCAATTTGGGGGGCAGAGTGGATGATGGGAAGGACAGTATAGGGTTATTCCCAGGCCTCAAGATGATGACATTTCCAGGTTTTTAGAAACACTTCGATCACCAGAGATGCCTGTTGGAGCTGTAGTCTGTCGGAAGCAAACATATGCAAAATAGATATTAAAAGTGTTAGGATCATATCCTTACTTTTCCTATCCAGGCCGAAGAGGACCACAGACTGATATATAAAATTTAATGAAACATAATTTCTCTCTACCCTCATCCCAATTTTATTTAATGGTAAACTAAATCTAATTTCAAACCATTTTACCTAAACTCATAGGGCAGAATAACCAAGCAGAATTTCGTTGGCTTTGGGCCTCCCAGGTGGCGCAGCAGTTGAGTGCTGGGTTGCGAAGCTGCCCGCAGCCCCTGCAGCGCTGGTTCGATCCCCCGCTGATCCCCAGCTGCTCCCCAGCCACCGGAGGAGGGTCCCACATGGCACGCAGACCTCTCCTGCCACCCACTGCTCCCCTCAGCAGTGTACTTCGGTCCTTCTGCCTGCTCTGCTCCCCGCTCTGGCTCTGGTGAATTCTCTCACCCTCCCGCGCTTCTGACTGTACCCAGTGCATGTATA